CTCCAGATGCCTAGGTCTCCAGGTGTTTCTGTCTCCAGGTGTCTAGGTCTCCAGGTGGTCTAGGTCTCCAGATGTCTAGGTCTCCAAGTGTCTAGGTCTCCAGGTGTCTAGGTCTCCAGATGCCTAGGTCTCCAGGTGTCTAGGTCTCCAGATTTCTAGGTCTCCAGGTGTCTAGGTCTCCAGGTGTCTAGGTCTCCAGATGTCTAGGTCTCCAAGTGTCTAGGTCTCCAGGTGTCTAGGTCTCCAGGTGTCTAGGTCTCCAGATGCCTAGGTCTCCAGATGCCTAGAGGGTCTCCAGGTGTTTCTGTCTCCAGATGTCTAGGTCTCCAGGTGTCTAGGTCTCCAGATGCCTAGGTCTCCAGGTGTTTCTGTCTCCAGATGTCTAGGTCTCCAGGTGTCTAGGTCTCCAGATGCCTAGGTCTCCAGATGCCTAGGTCTCCAGGTGTTTCTGTCTCCAGATGTCTAGGTCTCCAAGTGTCAAGGTCTCCAGATGCATAGGTCTCCAGGTGTTCTGTCTCCAGATGTCTAGGTCTCCAGGTGTCTAGGTCTCCAGGTGTCTAGATCTCAGATGTCTAGGTCTCCAAGTGTCTAGGTCTCCAGATTTCTAGGTCTCCAAGTGTCTAGGTCTCCAGGTGTCTAGGTCTCCAGATGCCTAGGTCTCCAGATTTCTAGGTCTCCAGGTGTTTCTGTCTCCAGATGCCTAGGTCTCCAGGTGTCTAGGTCTCCAGATGCCTAGGTCTCCAGGTGTTTCTGTCTCCAGGTGTCTAGGTCTCCAGATGTCTAGGTCTCCAGGTGTCTAGGTCTCCAGATGTCTAGGTCTCCAGGTGTCTAGGTCTCCAGGTGTCTAGGTCTCCAGGTGTTCAGCTTCTCACCATGTAGCTGCTGAAGGCAGAGGCGTCAGCATCGACCATCTGCAGCAGCTCGTTTGCAGCTTGATGGAACGAGGGATCAGCCTCCTCATCACACCATCCAGGTTCTCAAACTGCCTCTTTCCATACGTCATCTGCCCCACCATGGCACCCAGCGCTGCCCCCTACAGGTGAAACATGTGATGAAGACAAAGATGCTCCGGTATGAAGATGTGTCACTCTGGTGATGAACCTGTAAACTGACCAGAGCAGCGATGGCAGCAGAAACAGAACCTCCTCCTGGAGCGGCAGTCCGAGCAGAAACACTCTGAACAAACTGCTGCAGGGACAGAGAAATGAGCCCGCCCACTTCCTGGACTTCACCATGTACCTGCACAGGTAAGACACGCCCACTGTTAACAGAAGTCTGCTTTCTGTCACAAGTGGACATTTGTCACCTCAAACTCACTCTATGATTCTTTCCTGTGGGTTGAACGGGCCCAGAGAGTCCAGACCCAGTTTACTGATCACCTGTCAACAACACACATAGGTCACGACCCCGAGGTCAGCTGTTCTCATGTTAAAAATAATTGACTGACCAAGCGGACTTTGTGCTCCTCTTCGATGATGAAGAGTTGGTCTCTGTTGATGTAGAAGTCGGCAGCATCCAGCAGAGCTTTGAGGGGAATCAAACCGACAACCTGAGAGCCGAGCGACAACCGGCAGCTTCATCTCCCTGAACGTAACAACAAACCGTCAGTCACAAACCGCTGCAGTCGCTTGGTTTCAGGCCGAATCAGAATCACGACCTCTGACCTCAGACAGTCGGCAGGTTTCCTCAAACACGGCGTGGAGCGGCGTCAGCTCAAAGTCCAGGATGTTGGTGGACACCTGGGCCAGGTTTGACTCCTCCAGGTACCAGCCCATCCCCTGGACCTTCCTCAGGAGGCCTGGCTGCTCAGAGGAGAGAAGAAACCAAACGCTTGTGCTGATCAGACTCTCTGACCCCATCAGACGTTAATGACAGGTACAGGACCAGGTCTGGACCCTGAGATGACCTCCAACAGAAACTTGTGATAAACTAGTTTATGTAATTAAATTAAATTAAATTAAATTCAACTAGTCATAAATACTCAAGTAGGAATTGTAGCAAAAGTTAATTATTATTTTAAAGAAAGCTTAAGACAAGCAGAAAAAACGGAATAATTAAATAAATTATGTGAAATCTCACAAAACATGAAAAACATCCAAAGAGCATTTTTTAAATCTACAGATTCATCAAATTTTTAAACAAAAAGAAGAAAATCTGAATGTTCACACATCCTAAGATAATAAAATGAATGTTTTAAGTGAACATCTAAGACGGCGAAGCCTGCTACTCCAGCATGCACCTGGCCTTTGCCCCGCCCCTGCTCGCGGATGTCCAGGGCGATGCGATGAGCCTGTTCTTTGGTGCTGATCAGGTTCACGTTGTAGGCGATGAGAAACTTCCTGGCTCCGGTTACTGTGGCGCCCCATGATGGTACGAAGAGAGCGGGGCCAAAGTCTGGAGCCCATTCCGCTTGTTTCAACTGAAAGGATCAAAATCAGAAGCTGTGATGTTTGGTTTTAGGAAACTGAACAAAGAGAAGAATCTTCTCACCTTCTCCGGTAAAGCTTCGTACTCTCCCGCTCGAACCGATGGAAGGTTCCTCCTGGCTTCGGTTTGAGCTGCTTCACCATAAAGATACACTGAAGAGTTTACAGAACCACAAGGTTTCATTAGATCTTTCTTCATCTAAAATAGTTACTTTATGAGTGATTTCAGATTATTTGATGTTATCGTAACTAAAGTTCATTTTAAGACCAAGTTCCTCTCACCAGGAACGTGCAGCATCTCCGCCAGCCTCCGACCAAACTCGTTGGCACAGCGGACGCAGTCGTCCATGCTGACGTTTTGGACGGGGACAAAGGGACAGACGTCCAGCGCTCCAGTGCGCGGGTGTTCTCCTGCAGCAGAAACAGGGTTTGTAAACACAGCTTTGCTCTGGGGGCTGAGATCTCAGACCGGACCCACCTGAGTGTTTGCTCATGTCGATGAGGTCGAAAGCCCGCCGGGCGGCGCTCAGCGCCCCCTCCACCACCGCCTCGGGGGGGCCAACGAAGGTGTAGACAGTTCTGTTGGTGGAGGCCCCGGGGTCGACGTCCAGCAGGCTGCAGCTGGGGGTCTGAGAGATGGCTGTAGCCACGGCATCAATCACCTGATACGGGTCACAGAACCAGAGCAGAACTTAAAGGTCCATTCTGACGTTCACCAGGAGGTCAATGATTCCACAGACCAAGGAGGGTTCCAGACCAGAATCTGGTCCAACATTCAGGTTTTAGAACTAATCAAACCCATTTGGTTCAGATTCATCAGAGTTAAGATCAGAAAACGGGTCAGATATGGAACATGTGGAATAACTGATGAATATAAAACGCTAAACTGGTTTGTTCTGAAACCGGTTAAGAACCAACACCAGTCTGACCAGACACGAGGGAGAGCAGCCCTGTGGAGGCCTCAGAGTTCTGAGAGGCCTTCAGAAGGTTCTGGTAGAACTCACCTCTTTGTTCCGACCCTCTGAGAAGTTTGGAACACACTCCACGAGCTGAGCCATGGTGCTGTCAGAGCCTGGAGGAAGACGAGCAGAGTTCAGCTTCATCACGCAGAGACAGCCAGCTGCAGGTTAATCGTTAACTCACGGGGAGGTCCGCTGGGCTGGGAGGAACCAGAACATCTAAAGACTTGCTGCACCGCCAACAAATTAAATAGATGAATCATTTCACCATAATGTTTGTTTTATGCTCAGAACTGGGTCAGGAGTTTCTTCATACCAACTTAAAACCACAGCTCCTCTGGGCTGCAGACAGAATCTTTGTAAAACAGCTGACTGACTAACAAAACCTCTTCATCATCTTCTTCCCTTCAAAGTTCCTGATTGTTCCAAACAGAACGTTTGTGAGCTGAGAAATACCAAAACCTCCGAGTCTCAGTTGTGCTCAAAAGCCAGAAATCGTGACTGTTTGAAATCAGCTGATCTGATCCTTGAACAGCAGATAAATCTAAACAAAAAAATCAATAAAACGTTTGTTTTCTTTGTTCCAGAACAAAACAAAACCTCTGATCGACTCAAGCTAAGAGAAAAGGCCAAAGGTCAACAGAACTTTGAATGTTTGACCTCTGAAAATAGAAAAAAAAGCATTTGATTCAAACAGAAACCTACAGAACTTTAGAACCCTGCTAAAACGGGTCAGAACCCTCAGTGGGTGGAGCAACATGACTCAGAGTGAATTTTCATGAGATTTATTTTTTAAAGAGCAAGTCACCCTCTGCCAGAGTATTACTCCACTCCCACTTCCTGTTGGAAAAATGCAACAAATGCTGTTGCCTAGCAGACCGAGATGGCCTGCCAGCCACTAACTAATACACACACTGTTAGGGATTTTATCAATACGTTTATCAATAAACCCATTTCCTGTAGTGAAGAGAGAAGGAGACAATGAGCAGACAAGTCAACCAGCTATAACTGTGGCACATGCACGAGGCTAAATGCCTCGAACATCTGATCACAGAGTTTATTTAAACAAATAGATACGAATGGGAGTGAGGCTATTGTGTGAGAGAATGTGTGTGTGTATGGGACGGACAGTGTGGGTGTGTCTTGAGTGTGAGAATGCTTCAGGACATTTGAGAATAGGATTAACTAATGAAATATAAAATTTCCATAACATATTCCCTCCTGTTTATCCAAATAGGATAACCAAACAAAAGAAAGCAACAAAACAAAAACAAATAAGGAAAATAATAAATAAGTAAAATAATAAGGAATTTTATCCAATTCCATAACTTGACACCATTATCTATGAAAGCTACATCAATCATGACTCAAGGAATAAGGAAGGGGTAAAACCAGGAAAGGTGATCATCTCAGTAGTCATAAGGACCAATAGGGAACAAATCAAGCAACTCAAGACAAAAATGATAAGCATCAAAACAATAGTAATAATATAAACAAGTAATAACAAAAGTAATAAACACTACGATCAGATTTGAAAGGTTCGGAATCAACACGATGAAGTGAGGACACAGCATGAGGTGCTGCATTCGTTTGTCGTTTACAGATTGTAAGCTCAATCCTGATTACGTCGTCCAAAGAATCATTCCATACAAAGTGTAACACAAAAATCAGCAAAATAATAAGAACAAATAAAGTAATAAACACGATAAGGCAAACACAACTGACCATGATATCTTACAGCAGTTCACAGAGATAGAGAATGGAATCAGCTAAATCAACACAATTATAAACTTAAGGAGAGCTATTTCATACACATTGTGATGAATTTACTGTGATGCACAATTCCACGACTTATGAGAGTTTCTGTAAGGAGATTGGGAAGGGTTAGCAAAACCATATAATACACAGAAAATATCAGTATAATTTGTGGAAACAACAGATGAATTTAATTTAAACTTCAAGTCGCAGACAACTCTTTCTGTGAATGAGGAAAAAATGAAGGTGTAATATTAATTTATGCAGCTCTAACTATGGCAGAGCTGAGGGAAACCAGGCGTTCTTCATCAAAAGGGCTTGTCCGTGGACTGAGAGTCCCGGTTGGAGAATAGTTTGGAAGGTCAGAGTCTTCTTCCGTTGATCAGGATGGTTTCGGTCTTACGTTGATGAGTAACTTGAAGTCCAGGTCCGGAGTACAATAATGGAGTTTGGGATGTGAGCGCACAGTTCAGCTTCTCAATAGGAAGACGTCAGGGTCCTTCCATGGTGTGTCGAGGCGGTTGTCCAGTTGTCAGGGAGCTGATGTTGTCCCCGAAAAGTCCTTCTGATCCTTTGACCGTGAAACCAGGTTGGAGATTGGGTGCAGGTGATTGAAGCAGTTACTCTATTCCAGCGTCTCTTCGTCGCTGTGTCCTGTTGTAGTTGTGTCCAGGGGTGTTCAGCCAAGGTGGGTGCAGGTCACGTTGTCCTGTAGGTGCGCGGTCAGGGAGGAACCCCAGTCCATCGTTTCAGTTCCAGTTCTAGTACCCCCCTCAGATGTTGCTGTCCCAGTCGTTCCATCAGGTGCTGAGAGGCGGCCCAATGCAGGCCATGAACGTGCACCAACATTAGCAATGTGGTGAAACCAGCAAGCTTGAAGCAGATCTTTATCTTTATCTTTATCTTACCTTTATCTTCCTCTTCATCCTCGCAAGCGTTGAGACGTGGACCCTAAGGGTAACCCACCCCTTTGCAGCCGGACTTTGTTACCGCTCTAGTAGCGGTTGACGTTGATAAGCTTGCTGTGGGATAGATGAATCCAAGATGGCCTCTCAGCAATCTTCACAGCAGTGGGATTGACGAGGAGTACTTCGAATGGACCTTCTCTGGCTGCCCCAATGGTCTTGCTTCAGCACCTTCATCAGAACCCAATTTCCTGGTTTCACGACCTGTGGGCGAAAAAGCACAAGAAAATTCTGGGGGATCACTGTTGATTTTGAATTGTTTTCAGCAAAAATACTTATGATCCAATATTTATAGTATTTCCATCCAGTGTAATAATGTGAGGAAATCATTATCAGCCGTCCCTCCGCTTGAGGCATGAGACAACTCATGGCTCACCAGAAACAAAACATAAATGAAACAGGTCCGATACCGGCAAGCATTGCGTCAACCCGATGTTAAAACTGGACCTCACATAACATGTGAAAAACACCCATCCCAAAGAACTTGCAATTACCCGTTTACATCAGCAGGGGGCAGAGTCATCCAGCACAGTGTGCATAAAACAACAAAACAAAACAAGACAAAACAACTAACATAAAAGCCATAATCAGTGTAAAGGAAATTGAAAATAAACACAAAAAGTGATTTACATCACCTAGAAGTAACAGGAGAAATTGCAGTAAAAGAACTGTAGCAAAAAATTGTAATCTAATGAAATCAAAAAGAATCAACCCATCTAGGAAAAAAGGGTGAGCTTGTCAGCATCCCCAAACTCATATCACAAAATAATAATATCATAGACTCTATGCATTTGCTCTCATTGTGCCAGAAACTTTCACCTATATTCACATCATCAGAGCTAAATTAGGGAATACGGCCATTGACTTCTTAATTTAATCTCTTTGCTTCTAACACTGGAGTTAACTAACAATGAAACCAGCCCTAGTTATAAAAATAATATTTCAACTTCACATAGATTCAGTAAGGTAAGGTTGCTTCAGAGTACATCAACAATGTTCAATGTCATCCAATGTCACTCAAACAATTCGTAAAATTTGTCAACAGGAGATAAATACAGCTAAATAAAAACCCCACAAATTAAATTGGACAACAGATTTATCTAAGGAAAATAAAATTCACTTATCACATAGAGACAGTGAACAGTAAAAAATAAATAAATAAATAAATAACAGATGATGTTTTTAGACACACATAACCCTAAAAGTGTCTGAAAAGATGATAATCGTTTCAGGAAGGGAAAATGTGTTCTAAACAGAAGAAGTAATTCATAAATTATAAAAGTGTACTTGGTCTGAAATGGTTTTATTACAGGAAACAAAGAAATGCATGAGGAGGAACCCTAATTAGTTTAAAAGGTCAAGCAGAGGAATATAACTAAGTGTGATTATGAACAACTAAAGTATTTATACCTGGAAAACAACAAGAAATAAACAAAATAAAAGACTGACAAACGTGAAAACAAGTAGATTCACATGTAATCAGGTCATTCTCTAATTAATGTGACCATCAAAGAACATTCGTTAGGTCATCATGCTACTGATCACATCTAAGGGTCATGTAGAACAAGTGTCATCTTATTGTAATGAAGTGTTAATTACATTTAATTAAGGATCATAAGACATTAAAAATGCATATGGAGTATGAATTCCATCTTATGGACACTGGGTTATTTAAATCAGAAGATTGGATATTTTTATTGCAGGGAATTTAGATAACACTTTGTATTAACTGAGAGACAAGAGAAGAGAGATAGACCTTCAAACGTTTAAGGAAATTTATTACTAAATAATTTTAAACAATTTAACAAGACTAACTCTCTAATGATGGATGTTCTGTTGAATGAGGTGTGAGATGGTTGGTGTGTGTGAATGAGTGTCAAATTCAGAACCCTCGCATCCGGAGAAACAAAGTCTGAGTGGGAGATGATGTTTTGCTCCTAACTTATCAGAGTTTGAGACTTGTAGTCATAAACACACGAGACGCCATTTATGTTGCATCCACATACCCTCAGTGAGACCTCCACGATGGATCCAGAATGCCAGGTCCTCGGACCTTCCTTCTGGTACTGGAGCCAATGGTACAGCGTCACAGCACGACAAACTAGTCCTTGGATTGTCTCCAGGTAAAAAGCGACAGGTGGTTCACAGCGTCAAAATGGGGACCCTCCTTGGGTCCGCGAGTTCAGCTTTTATTCTGAAAGGTACCGTTGCTTGGTTGGTAAACAACAGAATTTTCCCAGCTTGATGGTTCTCAGCTTAAAAAGAGAAGTACAGATGGCCTGTCCATACTTCACTTAACATGCTGTGAACTTCATGGGATCTTGAGAACGAGATCTTGAGAACTGAACTTAAGATGGCGTTGGACTAGTTTTATTAATCTGGATGTTTCGAATTCTGGACAAATCAAAGCTGACAGATTTATAAACACCACAGAGACTCTGCCACGCTTCAGACTACGAAGGTTCTGATTGGATCAGTA